GGACCATTTACTAATTGTTGAAAATGCTTTTTATTTACAAGCTTCAGGAGTTTGACTCTTGACTAAGCCAAGCTTCTGGCTCTTACTGCCTCTGTCTTGCCCACTGTGTAGGCTTGCACCCATAGTATGCTTAGGGCAGGAAAGAAAGTCCTAGTAACTATTTGGGGGATCCCAGTATGGGGTCATTGAGCCTCAACATTCTGGACAATAGAAGCTCTGAAAGCAAACATATAATGTTGTCTGCTTTTCCATGCCTCCTGATAGACACAAGCTGGATGTGGTTTCCTGTGGCAAGTCCACAGTCCGAGTGCAGAAAGCCATCTGCAGTGGCTTCTTCCGGAACGCGGCCAAGAAGGACCCGCAGGAGGGCTACCGGACACTGATTGACCAGCAGGTGGTCTACATCCATCCTTCTAGTGCCCTCTTCAACAGACAGCCAGAATGGTAGGTGGGCAGGCAGATCTGAGCCTGCTCTGGGCAGAGAATCTGCTGGTGGGGCAGGCCAGGGGGTTGCTTTCTCTAGGATGTCCCAGTCCCCTCACTTGTCCCGCAGAGCTGCTAGAGAAGCTCCTTGGTTTTGAAAACTACTGGTGCTATGTGCTTGTCTTCACCACCCTCAGTACTTCTAGTGTCGCATCTGTTTCTAGAACATCACTGGATTGGGTACCATATCAGTTCCTGTTGAAATCAATAAAAACACAGGGACTAGAGCCAGAAGGATCTTACAGATCACCTAGTGAAGTAGTTTTCAAACTTAAGTTTTGAAGTAGTATTTCCAAGAATAGGAATCTTACCTATAAAGCTAATATAGACACAAAACCCACCATGCTATCATGGTAGAAAAAGGGCTTGAGACACAGCGCCTTTATTGCTTGGCCTTTCTCCATACCTTTACGACAGCTTCTAACACCCGCTTCAGGGCTTTAGGGTCTGTGGAGACAGTCTGAAAAACGACCCTTCCATTTTACAGAGCAAGATACTGGCCCAGAAAAAAGGGATATGGTTGGTTCTGTGTCAGTTACCTAGTTCGAACCAGAATCAGGATTCGAACACATCTTAACAGTTTCTTGGTGCTAGAAGCATGTGGGCTCCTCAGTACTGGGGTCTGAGAATCATCAGCCAAGCCTGGGGGTGACAGGCAAGCAAAGCTGAGGCTTGCTGTGGACCAGGCTAGCTATGGTGTAGGGTCTGTGGTAGAGGCTTCAGTCGCATCTTGTGTCCTCAGGGTGGTGTACCATGAGTTGGTGCTGACCACGAAGGAGTACATGCGTGAGGTCACCACCATCGATCCCCGGTGGCTTGTGGAATTTGCTCCAGCCTTTTTCAAGGTCTCTGACCCGACCAAGCTCAGCAAACAGAAGAAGCAGCAGCGTCTCGAGCCTCTGTACAACCGTTACGAGGAGCCTAACGCCTGGAGAATATCTCGGGCCTTCCGGCGGCGCTGAAACGCAGAACTTATCTGTCTGCTTCTGCAGTGGTGGTCCAAACTTGGATGTCATCTTACTGATAAAAAGCTGACCCTGAGAATACAGCTGTTCTGTGACTAACTATCAGGAACTGGACATTTTCTCAGTATGACTCTCATATTTTCCCTGGTGGTAAACTAGAAACAGAGATCGATACCCGACCTTGGCCAGAACCTCTGGCACCATCCACTCCACCACGCCGATTCACTGGGGCCAGTCAGGAGTTCACAGCCATCATAGCACATCAGGAGTTTTGCATCATCTCCACGAAAGGGGCAACTTCGGCAGCATTGGACACACAGACCAATGCTCAGTGCCCCAGCTGTTGCTTTCTGGAGTAGGCTCATCTAAAGTGTCAGCCCCCACTTCTTGCTGACCCCTTACTTTGACTTAACCTTCTGGAAATATTTATTTTCTTAAGGAAACAAAAATGGCTTAAAAATGGCTTTCTGTGGCTGTTTCATTGAGCTGAAAGGTTAGGAAATTGGCCTGGGCTCCAGTTGAGGGAGATTTAGTATCTGTGGCTCTGGTGCATATGGGCGAGAGTCCCCTGAAACCAGAGCCCCTGGCCTCTTTGGGCTCAGAGGTGACACACAGCCCAAACCTCTGTTTGTATCTTTCAGCACTGGGGCCAGGCCGGCCAATCACCCATGATTAACCACATCCCCTCCACCGAGCACTTGGTCTAGGCCCTGAGTGCTTACAGATGTTGCATATAGGGGTGCAGAAGGGCCCCTCTCTGCCCCTCTCCACAGGCACAATGAGCAGTGTGTCCGACTTCCTTTGGAGGCATGCTAAGTGCATGTTTTGTGTTTCTTTCCCCCTGTAGTCCTCCTTGAACTTTTAACAAAGGGTTTTTATGGTTACAGCCTCCCCTCCCCCATCCCAAGCCTAAACCCAATATCACACTTCTCTCAGCTGGTTTGCACTGCCCAGCATCTGGGCTCTGGGCACTTCCTCTTAATTCTCCTGGAGCCGGGGCTGGGGAGTGGCCACCTCTTCCCGCTCTTCTCACAGCTCCTGCCAAGGCGCTTTACCTGAAGGAGTGGACTGGCTGCCAAGCCAGGTCGTGGGGCCTCTGGAGAGCTAGTTCATGCCTGTTAAATCATTGCCTACAGTGCCCCTGTCTCCCATAAACCCTAAAATGACATAAAGACACAAAAATAGACTACAGTTCTAGGAGATAAAGGAATGTAGGTTGTCACTGGTCAGCAAGCAACGTACTCTGAAACAGCCAACAGAGAGGCTCATGGGCCTGAGAGGCTGCTGACTGCGGATGCCTGCCCTTCACTGAGCCTAGTAGGCGTCTGGTGTGGAGTGTGCTCCTTGTAGCCCTTGGCAGCAATCAAGGTATGGGTAGACATTGCAGTGCCTGCCTATAAGGTAAAACCAAAAGGAAAGCAGGGACTGGGTACCAGCTTGCCTATCCAAATTCCAGCCCAGGTCTCCCCAGTTCAGTATGTGGGCAGGTAGCCTGAATGCCCAGTCTAACAGTGTAGACTCCTCTGGGACCACTCCCAAGCAGGAAGACTGGAGGTCAAGAGGCAGTGGGCCTGTGCAGCTTTCTGAGTTAGATGAGCGGAAAAGACCCCAAGTCTTTTGGGTGTACCTTGAGCATCTCTCCCTAAGATCTGGGGTAACTTCCCTGCTGTGGATCATATGGTGGGGTCTGACCTTTAGGCTGCTCCTCTGAAACCAATGTAGTAGTCTGCTCAGGGAGGAGGGGACTCCTGCCAGGGTCTCAGCTGGGAGTTGGAATCATCTTGTTCACCTAACCCAGCAAGAGCCAGATCTCAGGTGTTCCCCATCCCTACCCAAGCTGTTGTGTGGCGCTGGGGGTGGTAAACATGCAACCTGCAAAGCAGACCCACCAGCTGCTCAGAATCAACTCAATGGTACTTAAAAAATAACCACCCCCCCCCAAATGCTGAGTTCATGCTTGCGTGGAGTGGGGAGCTCCATGGTTCCGGGATTAGCTTTAGCCAGCTTAGAGCATGACTGGGTGCTCTTTTACAACCCCAAGAATTTTCCTGGTGAACCGCTCTGTGGGTCTCACTCAGAATAGTGTCTAGTTCTGAGGATTTGAACAGAGCTGTCAGGAGGGGGGGCTTGTTCCTCTCAGAGCCCATGGACATTTCCCATGATGCTACTGCTCATTGCAATCCTGTTTCTTTTCAGCCTGAAGCGCTCACCTTCTCCCCATGATACCCTGTTTTTAATGTGGAATTATGTATTTTTTTAACTTGTATTTAAAATGGATTTTATATTCCTTGTAAATCGTAAGCTTATGTTTTGTGTTTTAGTAGCTCAAGAGAGGTCTTTCCCTTGAGGGCTGCCACAGCCAGTGCCAGACAGAGCTGCCTAGGGGGTGGGGGCCCAATCTCAGCCCAGTTCCATTTTAACTGGGAAGTGTCGTTTTTACCTGAACTATTCCCCACCCAGAAGCTGCTTACCTCCGCCAGTTCTGACCCTCCCCTCCAGGTGCTACTTGTATTTTAGCCAGCTGTGTCCCGCTCCCAGGGCTCACTCTCCCACATTTGGGGCATGGAGAATCCTAGTGTTTCCCTGAAGATTTCACAGGCCAAAACCCAGGGCTGTTCCCATGTCTCCCCACACCCCCCAGGGATCCTTTCTCCATTCCCCTCAGATTCAGTAACAGCAGTCCTCTCCATGCAAACTCTTGTTCCCAATGTCAGTGAAAACTGGGAGGGGGCAGTAGGGGTTCATGGGGATACAAGGTCAGGGGAGGAAATGTGATCACAGGCAGGCCAAGACCCAACTGAGTAAGCCCCATGTGGGAACCCCACCTCATGGGCTCAGTGGTTCCCTTCTCAGCCAGGACTGGGGGGTTGCTGCAGGAATCATGCCAAAGGGACCAGATCACAAAATGCTCTGTGATTATTTCTGGGTATTCACACAGTAATTTGGGGTGGGGAGGATGGCGGGCAGATATTGTCCCCAGTTTTCAGAGGAAAGACACATCGAGTTGTGTCCTCTGCCACCAGGTCAAAGCTAGGTTCCACATACCACCCACCCCACCCCCTGCCCTCTCTGGACAACAAAGAGGATAAAGAGAATGAAAGGAGAAGCAGGGGCCTTTATTAGGGTCTGGCAGATGTGGAGGTGGAATTCCAGGCCGGAGCCTAAGAGCCTGGGTTGAGGCTCCTTGGAGGCCCTAGTAGCACCCCAGCATCCCAAGTTCCTTTCTCCAACTTCCCCTGCCTCTGAGACGCAGCACCAAGAACTGACAACCGGGACCCTGCAGGGCCACAGCTTGGGGTGGATTGCAGGGCCCAGGGGTCTCCCCATGATGAAAAATGGGGGGCTCAATGCATCACTCCCTAGCCAGGATAAACTGAGGAGGCAGGTGCCTCTACATCTCAGAATAGGAACAAGCTCTTGTTCTTTCTGGTGAAGGAGAATGGGGTTGGGCCTCTCAGTTGGACCAAGCAGAGCTCAAAGCCTTGAGGGCAGAGGCAAAATCCCCAGGGGAACTTTTGAGACTTGCTTTTTTTAGACACGGTCATCATCCACACTTTGCCCTCCCATGACTAGTGAGCAGCTCAAGAGTGTGGGCCAGGGCAGCCCAAGGACAGTAGGGATCTGCCCCAGAGACATCTGTGGGTCTGAGTCGGGGTTTCCTCAACACCAAGTTATTCTATATGTACACAGGGCAGCAGCCACTGGGGCTAGTAAGAGTAGCCGCCCTTGGGGCCAAAGGGCTGGGCAGGGCCAGTCAGCTCAGGGAGGTAAGCGGGACTCTCGTCCAAGTGGGACAAGGGGACTGTGTCCTCCTCACTGACTGGCCGGTCAAACTCGGCCTTGAGAGCTGGACGCTGATTGTCCGGGAAGGCCAGAGAGAAGAGGGCTTCGGGCTCGCATACAAACTTGTACACATAACGCTCACCGGCCACCTACGGAAAGAAAGGGAATGGCTCAGTCTAATTATTCTCCCCTCAGTATTGGGCTAGGGGTCCCGGCAGACACATTTCTCCTCCTAAGAGAGCCGATTCCTATTCACCTTTAACTTCAATCCCTCAAACTTTGGGCCTTTCAGTACTGTTTAGCACTTTAGGGGGTAAAGGGAACACTGGGATTGCCCAAAATTTCTCATCTCTGGCTGGTTCCTACTTGCTCCTATAAACTTGCTGAGGAATGCTCTCCTAAACCCCATTCCCTCCACCCTCTTGGCTCCTGACCTTCTGCATGATGCCTTTCTCATAATAATATCGGAGTGAGCGGCTCAGCTTATCATAATTCATGGCCGGTCGGTTCTTCTGGATGCCCCAGAGCCTGGCGACCTGGGGACAGAAGAGACAAGAGTTTGGGCTGCGACGCTAGCTCAGAGGGGGAAACGGGAAGTAGGTCAGAAGGAGCAGCTAGCCTTGAAACAATACCAGCCAGCAGACCCAGGCTTGGCAACAACTCTAGCAAAGCAAGGCTGGACTCTAGGAAAACAAGGCTGGGAAGGGCCACCATTGCCCATATTTTCTGATCTCCAGGTCCCAGAGCTGTTGGCGAGGGGCATGGCCATCTCAGAGTCCCACCTCCTCAGGCTCTATTAGTTTGAATTCCATTCCCCGGCCAGTCCAGGCAATGAAGTGGGCATTCGTTGGGTCATCCAGCAGGGCCACCAGAAACTGCCATAACTGCAAGGCTCCCCGGCGCTGGTAGGGCGGCCCCTCTCGGAATGTCCCAATCCCTTCCTGCTTGATGTCTCCTGGGGAACACAGAATACACGATGTGTGGGGATCGGGACGTCTGAAAATGACACACACAGCCTGTTGGGAACCCTTTCCCCTCTCCAGGCCCTCACTGATGATGTGTAATACGATTCCTGTGGTACAGTCAGAGGGCAAGGATAAGACCCTGACCCTCCCATGACCAGTCACTTCTCTGACCTTCAAATTTCTCAGGGACGACGCAGACATCATCTGGGAATGGTCGCAGAGGTTTTTCATAGCCATAGCCTTGTGAAGGAAGTTGGGGGATCACTCAGAGCTGGGTGACTCACTAATATGAGACCCCAGAGTCCAGAGGGACTTCTGGTCAAGACCCTCCTCACCCCTTTCCCAGAGCTTCCCTCTCCCAGCTTGGAGGACTTGGCAGGGAAAGGGGGAGGCTGCCTTACCCATGGCACCATCACCTGGGGAGGGCCCAGAGAAACCCTCTGTGTGAAGGTACACTGAAGCACACCCAGGGATATCTGGGAAGGGAAGAGAGGTGACATTATAAATGGCTAGTCCCACACATGCATTCAAGCTCTTCCTGCCAGCCTTCATTCCGGGTACTGTTCTTTTCCCAGCTGCCTGCCCACCACCAAATCCCAGGGGAAGTTCACTCAGAGGGAGTGGAGGTGGAGCCCCCTTGGCTTGAGAGGTTGGGCAGAGGGCAGGGATGGCAGCAGCAGAGGCTGGCAAAACTGGTCCACTAGGCCCTGGATGCCAGGGAACAGCTGTTTCCTGATTGCAGGGGGAGGAGGGATGAACCTCCGGAGACGGGGTTCGGTGTCCATGCCTAAGACTCCCTCAGAATGGACTAACGTCCGGTCAGCAGGTCAGGTTCCCAGCCCTGTGTGTGCACACATGTGCGCATCTGGGAAAGATACTGGGCATGGGGCTGTTTTTCAGGTCTGACAGAGCACATTCCATTTCATAGGCTAGAAACTTCTCCAACTTAGTCTGGCCCACCGGGCTCTACTCCCACCTATGAATGAAATGGTGAAACCCGACACCTCCGGGGTGGAGGGGAGGGGGTGGGCTCATTCATGCCTCCATTTTGTGAATGGAATTCCTGACTCCATTCAAGAGGAAGCAAAGGGGAGGGACTGGAGTTCAAGGGCATGTAACTCGATTCCCTCTGGTCTACAGCCTTTGAAGGTCAGAGGCAAGAGCAGCTCTCTCCCCCGCCTTCCATCTTGCTGCCCAGCCAGGCTTCAGCAGCCGTGTGGGCATTGAGAGCACCACCCTCCTGGCTCCTTAGACCTAGGGGATTTGCTGTTTATCCCCCCCACTTCCCTGAAGACCAGTGGGTACCCAGAAAAGGGAGATTCTCAGACTCTTGCCAACTTTAATCTCTGGATTTATTTTTCTATTGCAGGTTGTAGATAAACTCAGGTTTAGGGCTGCTAGCAGTATACAATGTAACAGAAGCCAGGAGGAAAGGAGTGGGGTTTTCTGGGCCCTTCCTAAATAAGTATGACCCTTGCACTAGGGACTTTGAAAGCATTTGAACTTGCTAAGTGTGACTCTCTCCTGTCAAAAGCCCAGGGAAAACTAGTATTTAAAGCAGTTCCTCCATCTAGCCTGACTTCCGGTCCCCAGTTCTGGCCAGGAGGGAGGGTCACCCATCAACCCAGAGCTCAGACAGGATGTGGAAACCACCTATTAATCCTGTATTCCTATTGGAAATTTTGAGCCTGGCTAATTTCATACTCCTGAGTCCTGGTTTAACACTGTAGGCTAAGCACTCTACCTTTAAGATTGGTTTGAATTGCAAAGTCGGTGGTTCAAACTCACCAACTGCTCCTGGGAAACCCTATACAGGGTTGCTAACACTTAACAACAAAATTTCATACTCGTGTTTCATTTCATTCATATCCTTTTTGTGTTTTTAAGCTCATGTGGGGACAAAGGCCAATGACACAAACTGTTCATCCTTGTATCCTCCAATTCCCGACACCCATGCTCTAGCACAGCGCTTGGGTGTCAGTAGGTAATTAAACCCCAAACACCTTTTAAATAGAAAACAATACGTTCCCTTTCCTATAAGTCACTAGCTATCCGAGGACCAGCTTGACATCCACTGATCTTTGTCTCTGAACAAGTTTGATGATTGAAAACCAAGAATTCTTTTCAAGATGAAAGATTCTTTCGAAGATGGGTAAACAGATGGGCAGGAAGATAAAAAAAAACTTGTGGGCCGACATTTTAACTTAAGTGTTCATTGAATTATAAGCCACCCCCATCAGCCACCCCAAAAATACCTTTCTTGAGAATCCCTTACCTGTGTCATAGGCGAAATCCATCTGTTCCTGTTTGATCACCACCCCCGCCCCTGGGTACCTGTGCCCATTGACCCCACCCGGGCCCACTGGTGGTTGACACGCCTGCTCATACAGGGGGTCGTGGTATTCCTGTTTGAAGCTCTGCTGGGGGTAGGGCACGCAGGGCTCTGATAGCTGGTGTTGGTAGGGGGTTGGGAGGGGCTCCCGGCCCCCTCCCTGAGAGGATGTGAAGGAGTGACAAATGTCCGAGGGCTGCTGGAAGATGGAGCTGGATGTGGTTGGATAGAGAGGGAAGAGAAAAGAATCTTGAATCAATCCCTCCTCCCGCCTGCCACTCCCCAAACTTGCAAGGTGGGCTCTAGAGGGGGAGTGGGGAGCATCGGTATCCCTTCCTCCTTCCCTCCTCCCAAGTATCTGTGGGTGGGTGGAAAGCACTCTGGGATTGAGGACCAACTGGTAAAGACCTGGACCCACGGATGTGGATGGTCTCCTTACCTGTGCTCCCCAAGGTACCCATGGCCAGCAGGGTGGGGCTGAGAAGTTCCAGAGGACCTTAAGAAACTCTGCTGTTCTGTCCGGGGAAAGGGCTGCAGGAGCGACTGTCCAGGGTCACCAGGGGCAGGGGACTTGATAGCGATTTGTCTGGAGGGATCATAGGCACTGGAGTTGTGGCGGGGAGACAGGGGTGAGGGGGCAGAGAAGTTGGGCGAGCATCTTTGAGCCCTCTACTCCTGGGGAAGTGTGCTCACAAGGATTCTGGGAGAAGGCCAGGTAGAGGGGACTGGGAAAGAAGCATGAGCTAGATAGACTCCATCTAATGTGAATGTTTTCTCTTCATCCAAATCTCTCATTAGCCCAGAGCAACTGGGTTGGCTGTGACAGGAAGTCTCTCTCTGGTGGCAACAGACTCTGCACTACCCTCATACAACATCCCTTGAGTCCCCCTTCTGCACTATCCACTCAGATCACTCAGAGGAAGTCCTCTTATGGCAGTTCAGAAACCGTTTGTTGTCTCCCATGAATTTATCTGCTGCCAAGGGTCATGGGTCAGTGCCTTCTATCTCTCTCCCTCTGGACACTCTTCCCCTGTCCTTCCCTAGGACCCAGCTGGGACTCACCTGGAGTAAAGGCACTGCTCGCCATGGTGGTAGGGGAGTGGCGGCTTCCTGCTGCAGGACAGGGCCGGGTCTGTGCGGGGACTCTGGGGTTCCTTCTTGATCCTGGTGGTGGGGCTGTGGAAAGCTACTGTGATGGTAAAAGTGGGGAGGGGAAGGCAAGGTCAGAGAGCCATGAAAGAGGCAGGCAGAGCTTCTTAGCACGCCTGCTCTTCGGGCAACTGGTACAGCTTCAGTCCCCTCTCTGGGTTTCAATTTTTTAAGATCTGTACCAGTTATCATCAAGATGACTCCATTCATGCTGACCCCTGGGTGTTGGGTTTTCAATGGAAACTTAGTTTGGAAGTATATCACTAGGCCTTTCTTCTGAAATGTCTCTGGCTGGACTAGAAAATTCCACTTTTCGATTACCAGTCGAGTATGTTAACCTTGGAGTCCTGGTGTGGCACTGTGGGTTAATGCACTGGACTGCAAGGTCAGTTTGAACTGCAAGATCGGTGGTTCAAGCTTACCAGCCTATACACGGTCACTATGAGTCAGAACCTACTCAACGACAATGAACAATAACAGCTACGTTGACCTTGCACCACCTAGGGATTCCCTAAGATCTACAGTCTGACACTTTTGGCTATTTCCATTCTGCCTAGCTTTATGCATCAGTCTCATGGCCAACAGTCAACCAAGAAACTGTCTGAAGTTCAACCCTCAATGCAATCCCAGATCCCAGAAAACACCTTCATGTGAGTGAGCACCTCCAACCTAAGACTTGCGGTTTTCCTGAGTGCCCTGGAAAATTCCAATGGAGGGAAATTTTTTTTGGGGGTCTATAAAAGATCTTTCTTTCTCTGGTTAAGGTTGGATATTTGCCCACTGGAATGTCAGCTGAATAGCATTATACACATGCTCCTAATTATCTGTGAAGAACATTAGCCTTTCCTGTTGCCCCTTGCTGGGTCCTCCAACTCCAGCCATCAACTTGAGCAGCAAAGAGTTGGTTCCAAGCTAGGTGAGCATGGTTTGCACTGATGTGTGCTCTGCTCCATTTCGTTGGTGAAGGTATTTGAGGGCAAAATACCTTGCATTAAAATTAAAGCAGGGTTTCCTAACAGTTCACATTTGGGTCAAGATAATTTGTTGTGGAAGGCTGTCCCTAAGCGTTGTAGGATATTTTTAGCAGCCTCCCTGGCCTCTCCTCACTAGGTGCTGGTAGCAGTACCCCACTCCAAGTAGTGGTAGGTAATCAAAAAGATCTACAGACATTGCCAAGTAATTCCTGAGGAGCAAAATCACCCTTCACTGAAGGAAAACAATTTAGAACTGGAACCTGCTGAACTGGTCCAAGACCCTTATTTCAGCGATAAGGAAAAAGAGGATCAGAGAGACACTGTGTGTCTGCTCTAAGGTCACACAGCTACAATAGGGCACGCCTCAGATTTGAACCAAGGTCTTCAGTCTTGTTACTACCTTGGTCTTTGAGTCCAAACGAGAATGGGGAGGCCTGCTCTTCACCCCTTTCTTTAAGAGAGAACAAGTACTTGATCTCTCTAGCCCTATGACTCACGTCCTGCACTCCCCCCTCCCAGCCCCTCCTCCTTCCAGGGCCCTCTACTCTACTCACAGTTTTCTGAATGGAAATCAGGAACAAACTGCTCATCACTGTCTGGGACCTGAGCTGCAGAGAAAAGTCAGAGATGAGTCTGGAGTGGGGGGGCCTGGAGATGACCCCAGGGAGGTACAACAATCACAGCCCTGTAGATTAGCACCCACCCAAAAAGGGACAACAGTTTGAAGGCAGCTCCACCCCAGGGTCCTAGTGCCCTCCATGTCTGCACTCCACTGAGACCCTGGAGGGAAAGCTCAGAGAGCCTGCTGATTTCCAGAACCTGTCTGAGCAGATTCCAGTCTTTTCCGGGATGCTTTGTCTTTATTCCCTCCATTTTTCTCAAGTGGAGACAGCCTCGCCCCTCAGAGCTCCCAAGCTGCTGCAAAGCTCACAGCAGAGTCATATCTGGGATGAGCAGCCGTTACAAAGAGAGTCTATGGATTTAGGAGTCACATGGGGAGCTTCTGAATCTGGGCGGAGCCCAGGAATCTGCATTTTAAACAATGAGGTAAATCTGAGATTCACAAGAGCTGGGCAGTGGGGGAGGTAGTATAGCTATGAGGAGAGGTGAGAAGAGGATGAAAGTGGAAGAGGGGAGCACCCACAGGAGGTTGGGGATACTTGGAGGTCACAGTGCCTCCTTCCTTTGATGTGCAGCTGGTGGAGGAGAAGGCTGTCTAAGCTTGGGGTCTGAGGAGCACTCCTAGGGAGCCAGGGTGAGTGGAACTGGGTTGGAGATTAGGCAGGACGACTGAAATAGAATAGCAGCTCATCCAAGGCCTCTTTCTCACCCAGATGAGCCCACTCTGATTTCTAATTTTTATCCTGGCCTGCTAAGAGTTAGGTTTCCAGGTGGGTACTCTGAAGGTAGTGTTTTTGCCCATTTTTGTCCGCTTCTCAAGAATAGATTGCATCATGACGAGGAAGGGTAAAGTATCAACAAACACTTCCTGACGGTCCAAGAGCAGAAGGGTTCTAAGGTGAGGCAACAGACTCTGGAACCAAGGGGACTGGGCTCTGGTTCCTTAGAGACTGCTCTCAGATTGGACAGTGGGGAAACTAACAGACACAATGGCTAGAGCGTTTAGAATGGCTGGTGAGGGTGCGCCGTGTTGTTTGTTGTTAAATGCCACCAGTTGGTTCCAGCTCTTAGTGATCCTGTATAGGGTTCATGAGGAGTGGCTGATGGGTTTAATAATCTGGTGCTTATCTCCTCAGCGACACACCAGGAACTCTAAAGAGTACATGTAGAATACGTGGATATAGCTGAATACTTCCACATCCCTACCCTACTGTGTCCACTCCAGGCCAGGCCACTATGTTTTCTTACTTGGATTCCAGCCACAGTCTTTTATTGGAACTTCCGACTTCCACTCTCCCCTCCACATAGCTGTCAGAGTGATCTTTTAAAACAGAAATCAAATCACTTCTCTCTTACTTCAGGCACTCCAGTGGCCACCTGCTGTGTCTAGAATGAAATCCAAACTTTCTCCATTGGCCTCCAAGGTCTCACATGATCTGGCCTGGCCCCTTCTCCAACCTCCTCTCCTGTCCTTCTTTAGCCATCCTGGTCGTCTTCCTAGTCTTCAAACATGCGTTGCTCTTTGCCTGTGTTTTGCATTTGCCACTACACGAACGTATCTAATTAATAAATATTGTCTTGTTCATCTCCCCCACTGGGAAGCACGATCTTGACAACAGGAATTTACCTGTCTTGTTCCTCTCCGATTTCCTAGCACCCAGAATAGGGTCTGGCCAGCGAAGACAATCCAATATTTGTTGACTATGAAAATAAACATATATTACCTCTGGTCCTCAGCCTGGTGGGAGCCAGCATTGTAAGTCTGGGAGCCAGAAGAAAAGAGTTCCAATCAACCCAGCCCTTCCCTTACCATATAGGCGATTCCCTCTCTGCACACAATATAACAAGAGAGGCTAGTCCTCTTTGGGGAAGGTACATTTTCTTACAACAGACACTTAAGGGCTTGATAAATTGTTTGGCAAGAGGATTCTTCACCACTAACTTGCTTGAAGTATCAGAGATATCAAGTGTTTTTAAATATAGGTTTATAGGTAACTGGGGGCCCATGGTGGTACAAATAGTTAACTGAACTGTTTAACTAAAAGTTTCGAGTTTCGAGTCCACTCAGAGGCACCCAGGAAAAAAGGTCTAGTGATTAACCGCTAAACAATCAGCTCTTGAAAACTTTCTGGAGCACAGTTCTACTCTGACATACATGGAGTTGTCCTGAGTCAGAGCTGACTTGATGGCTCTTGGTGGAGGAGTTTGAGTCAGGAATCCCTAAAGAACTCATGAAAAAACAACAGCAAAAAACGAAACAAAACAAAAAAAAACCAATGGCCATCAAGTCGATTCTGACTCATAGGTTGCAAATTATAGGAGCAGAAAGCCTCATTTTTTTCAAAGAACCCATGAAAAGTTAGCATAAGACAATTCTAGAATGAGCTATTAGATCAGCAAGATGTAACAGATGTAACAGCCCCTTGGCAAAAAGAAACAAAACCTCACAGCCAGTTCACATCTTTTCAAAGGCAGCAATTCCCAAACTGGCCTGATTAACGAATCACTCAGGGATTGTTAAAAATACAGATTCCCAGTTCCATACTTCTGGAAGGTCTCATTCCACAGGCCCAGGGTGGGCCCAAGCATGCACCCCTGATGGCCTAAGGGACTTGTTTGGGAAACACTGAGTAAATGGAAGGACTCAAAACCTGCTCAAACCGCCCAGGGATACAAGGCCCAATTCATGCCTGCACCTCCTCTGTCCCATCAAGCAGATGATACCCCAAAGGTGGTGGGGATGGGACTGCTGAGAGGAGGGTGAGCAACTACCTAGGCAAGAAGGGTCCCAGGGGTGGGGGAGGTGCAGAACTTAAGAGAGGCTGACGCATTCTGGGTCCTCTCCTGGGACCTCATTAGCTGCCAGTTTCCATTGAGGTAATGGGCTGGGGGCAGCTCCTGCTGCCGTCACCAGCTAGTTCACATGACACCCAATGTTGTCGAGAGCAGAGAGAGCCCCAGAGGTAGTGTTCCTCCCAGGCTCAGGCCTGGAGGCTTGACCAGAACCCCCACTCCCCAGAAGTCTCAGAGGACGCCATTCCTAAGTTCACTATTCACATTCTAAGAGTTGGCACCATCGTCTTCCCAGAGCCAAAAGAAGTCAGTGGAGGCAAAAATGGGCGGTGGTATAAATTCCTGCTCAGCCCCAAAACACTGCCCTCCCCCAAAGGAGTAGGACAGGATCTCAGCTGCCCAGAGACTGCCAACAAACATAGAACTGGAAACAGGAACATCGAGCCTTGCATTCCTGGAGAGCAGAATTTCTAATTACCATGTTTGGTCTTGAGTGTACGCCACTCTATTTATTTGTTGACTTGGCTGAGCTTTGGTTGCTGGAGCCAGTGTGCCAAAGTGTGTCCCCAACTTCATCCTGGCACTAAGGGGAAAGTGATCTGCCTAGGGAGATGGCAGATGAGTAAGGAGGGGGTGCGGCAGGCGCCAATCAGCATAATGCCCAGAAAAAGAGAATTTCAGGCAATGTTCCTCATAAGGGGTCAGTAGAAGAAGAGGGGCTTGTTGTTGTTAAGTGCCATCAAGTCAGTTCCGACTCATAGCGACCCTGTATAGAGTGTTTCCAAGGGATGGCTGGTGAGCTTGAACTGCCAACCTTGCAGTTCAGACAGACCCTGGAGTCTAGCACGTTAACCCACAGTGCCACACCAGGACTAACAGGGGCTTAGGGGCTCCAAAACTAGTCTCCAGAAGAACTGGGAGGTTAAAACAACTAAGCAGTTAGACCCACCATAGGTTAACCGCCACCTATACCAGGCATGGTCCGTCACCTTTTCTCCTTCCTAGGATCCAACTGTTGGGAAGGGGTTTTCTCAGGGTGTTCCTGTGTAGAGGTAGTGCAGGGTGGGGGGGGTGTGTGTGCGAGGCATTCTTGGGAGCTTCTGCTCCATTGTGTCACCACTGCCTCATCTTTCACCGGCACCCTGCCCCCACCCTGGCAGCCTCTGTACTGGAAGGAACCAGTTCTCTATCTATGGAGGGGGACATTTGTCCCCAGGAGCATTCTGGAAGGGGAGGAGACAGAAAGATGTAGAAGGAGGCATTGCAGCTAGAAAAGACTAGGGGAGGGGAATTAACCCCCTCTCTCCCTATAGACATGTTACATTGGGATTCATACATACCCTAATTCCCTTACTCCACTCTGGTGGTAACACGGCAGCACACAAGTGAAATCCACACTCCATGCACCCCCTTCGCACACATGATCACCATTTGGACCCACAAATATAATGAAGATTCAAAGCAAGGGGACTGAAGCCTTTGGAAGAGGTTTAGGAAACAGTGATTCTTACCATTTTGGGGAGCAAAGACTCACCCTTTTGAATATCTGATACAAGGTATGGATCATTCTCTTCCTAGAAAAATATATAGACCTGTGTAACATGGCGCACCCCAACAGTAACACTTAGTAGAGGATTCAGAGATCCCTGCAATCCATCCACCGATTGTATCTCTGGGAACCAACAGACAACAGGTTATCATCCTTATCCTCAACTAGGACATGGTCCCGAGTCAATGTCCCTTACTACCAAATGCACCACATAATCACTGTCCCCAAGAATTCCCATGGGTTCCCCAGAAGCCCAGGGAGGAATCCTTGAAGAAAACCAGCACATCGGTGACCACCATCACCCGACACATCATGAACTCAGTCAGCCTGAGACTGGGTCCGTCTGTAGCAACCTGACCCTTTCTCCAGCATCTCAGCAGACCCCAGACACCCTAAAACTAGACAGCCCCTTCTAGCCTCAGTGCATCCCCCTCTGTCTAGAAAAACCCCAATTCCAAAGATGTCTGAGCTCTTTCTACCAAGCCAATTCACATCATCCTCAAAGCTCTGATGGACTCTGAACCACAACCTCCCCGACATCTCTCTACACCAGTCCCTGGTCCGGCAGAACATCATCTGGATTCTTTACAGCATCACCGACACTACAAGGACCCAGCTTCTTGGGGTTTATAAACCAAGCTGCAGGACGAAGGTTAGGTTGCAGTCCCCATTCCGCCTGATAAGTCCCACCGTTGGCAAGTTTACAAAGGATCTAGTCCCTCCCTGCCACCCCAAAGCTCCCCCTGGGCTGCAGGGGTCACTGACCTGGTGGGAAGAGGCAGGAGAGGAGGCTGGGGTGGTTCTGGGATGGTGCAGGGGGACATGGCCCCGGCAGCTGCATCTGTCTCCGCAGAGAGAGCGAGAAGGAGCGAGCGGCCTCAGCATCCCCCCCTCAGGCCTGGCCATCCATCGCCAGCTGGGAACCTTAGCAGCTCCCTCAGAAGGAAGGAGAGGGAACCAAGGAGATCCCAGCCCCCCCCCAATGCCTTGCGACCCCCACCCCCACCTCCCCACCCACTGAATTTAAATGTACAGGGACTCCCAGGATGACAGCATGTAATACGTGTGCACATACATGCACATACTCAACACATGCTGTCACACAAACACAGACAGACACAAGGACAATCTCTAGATCCCTCCCTACCTCTAAGGGGTGTGGCTTCCAAAGCAGAGATGAAATTAGAGCATATTCCTTTCCCTCCCATTCCAAACCTAGCACAAATGGACCAGCTGCTGCCAAAAAGTCAACCTGAGCCCACCCCAGCTCCCCACTCCGGCGACTGCTCACTGAGGGCAACTCAGGGACCTCCAACTGACAGCCTGGTGAGCCAGACAAAAATCGGACATCAGAAAAGGAAGTCTCTGAAGGAACATGGAAATTGACACCTCGCTGTTCTTAGCTCCAGAACCTCGGGAGGAGGCTGGGTGGGCAGGGCACGACTGTGCCTACAACTCAGAGCTGGGCATGCAGGCTGGCAGAGTTGGGGAAGAGCCACACAATACTCTACCATTCCCCCTTCAGCACCTACCCAGCTGCTCAGTCACAAACTATACAGAATTTCTTGAGTATCTTTTTTTATGCTAAAGAGTCAGTTTTTCAATATATTTTGGGGGATATTACAGTGACCAAGACAGACCCAGTCTCACCCCAAGGATCTAGCCAGAGGTCTATTCCTTCAAACTGCTATAGATTGAAGAGGAGCTGGCTTGAGCTTAAAGAAATTTCCAAAGAAAGTTACCCAGGTAGAGGAATGGGGAAAGCCTAAGGAAGAGAAAAGGACCCCCAAGATAGGGTTCCTAATGTATTCATGTTTTTGCTTTTCCGCCTGTTGAAATAGAGATCCTAAAATAGGATTGTTAACTGTTTCCTCCCAGAGTCCATCTAAGCTACCATTTACCTCCACCTGCAGCCCCACCAACACACACCCAAGGAAACAGCCAGGAGACGGACAGAACACACTTCCCCACTCAGACAAGCCTCTGCCAGACTCCACCCTAGACAGGAAGTAGCTAACCCCCCAGCCGGCAGAAATGGGGACTAGCCAGGGGTGGAGGTACTCATGGAAGAATGGAGGAGGAATCCTTACCATTAGAATTACAATCAAGGCTATTTGGTGGTAGAGGCATAGGCCCTCTCAGCCAAAGTGCATCAGAAAAGAACTATTTACATTTTTGTTGTTCTCTACGTTCTGCTGGTAAATCATTCGGCACTGGGGTTTGGAGAAAAGGGAAGCCAAGGGAGGAGGTATGGTGGAAATCATTGTTTTGGCAATTCTTGAAGACAGGTAACAAATTAATTTCTCTCTCTCACCATCTTCACCTCTTCAACATACACCCCCCCCCAACCCCCAACACTCCAACACACACCTCAGCCAGGCGCCGGCTGCCAAACAAACTTTGCAAATGAAAATTTCAACCAGGAAAACGGGCCTGGGGCCAAGTTCCATTCAAATAAGCAAATACCCCACACAATGGTTTGATTCATCCCCAGGCCTAGTTACACAAGCCTGGCTGAGGGCAGAAAAAATAAATATCAATATAAGTGTCTACCCTGGGCGCCCGAGGAAAGCGGGAGAAGCAGGGGAGTGGAGAGGGAGCCTTTGAGACCCCCTGAGATTGGAAAAGGAAGAGAGGAAGCGGGCTAGGCTGTACCGCCAGAAAATCAAGAGCCTCCTCTGCCCAAGTATAGAAAAGGTCACAAAACTACTCACCTTCCGAAAGCCACGTCTCCTGGAAGTGACTTAGATCCTGGAAGAGATCTGAGGGGTGAATAATGAAATTGGAGAAGGTGAGGTGGAGGGAATGGGGAGAGTTCCAGCGAGCTCGGAGATACCCCTTGGGGGTGGGGGCTGAGAAGAAATATCACAGCGCCTTGAATGGCTAATCTTTTTTGGGAACCGAGTGTGAACTCCAGGATCATATCTCGGGGTGTGTGGAGGGTTCTTTACCTTCAGAATCGGGGGGCGGTAAGGAGCCGGGGTCCATGACCTTCCCCTGCGGGACCATCAGCGCTTCGCGCAGGATCCCATTTCCGGGCGATTTCTGAGGGAAGGGGGAGAATGCCCCCGAGTCACCCCAAGGCCGCAGGTCTCGGGGGCGGGGCTAAGGGGGGGGTCCCCGGTGACCCAGGGGACGTGCAGCCAGGATCCCGTGGGGACCGTGGGAGGGGGCGGGGCGGGCGTGGAGGCCGCGCGGCGCTCACGCTGCAGAAGGTGTAGGGCACTTGCTGGTCCAAGTATCCGCCTTTCATCCTCCGCTCCATCCGGCCGCTCCCTCTGGCCGCGGCCGGGGCCCCGCGCGGGGGCAGAGACCTGAGGGTAGGGGGTGGGCTGTGTTCGCACAACGTGCTGGAGAGCGGCTGGGCGGGAGAGAGAAGCGGGGGGGCGGGAAGGGGCCGGTCCGAGGGCCAGGGCGAAACTTCGCGGACTCACTCCGTCCGGCACAGGAGAAGTCTCCGCCCGGCGCGCCAACAGAACCCTCCCGCCAAAGAAGGTCCCACCTGCTCTGCAAGCCGGGTGCGCCTTTCTGCTGCGTCCTGCAGCCCCGCTCAGGCCGGCTCGATTACATAAGACGCGTGTGTGCGCGTGTGAGTGAGTGTGTGTGAGTGTGTGTGCGTGCGCGCGCTCAGAGGAGCGGGCCCAGGCGCGCACCATCCGCACGCCCCCAACTCGGGCGCCCCCTCTAGCCCCGAACCCCAGCGCAGCCAACCCCGGCCCTGGGATCTGCGGGGGCGGTGGAAAGGGTGCCTGGTGTGGTAGACTAGACAGGAATCGCAGATGCGCGCCCTCCCTCCCCTCCCACAGCATCACCTGGGGCTCGGCCGTCGGTGCTAGAGCCGCGGGGGGCCCCGAGCAAGCCCCGGGCCGCTCGGAGGGCCGAGGGGCTAGGCTGGTGTGAGACCGCCAGGCCCGAGTCCCCGCGCACCAGCTAGTTTTCCGGGCGCCGCAGACAGTTGTGAGCCCCGGGGAACCGCTGATTGGTGCGTTTCCTGCACCGGTCCTCAGGGACCACCCCCCCACCCCCGCCGTTCCCTTTGTTTCATTGACTTTTGTGAATGAAACCCCAGGGCCGGCACGCCCGCCAATCAGGAGCCTTACCCGGCCGAGGCGGGGGGCGGAGTTTCCCAGCCGTGGCGGCCAATCGGATGTCAGGGGCTGGCTCCCCGCTCCATTCACTGCTTGGGCTCCCATTCATAAAAAAATAAACTCCTTCGGCAAGAGTTCATTCATAAAGAGCTGCATTGAAGCGAGGTTAGCGGAGGACCCAGCGGCTTCTTAGCTGGGCTGGAAGATCGCCCCAGGGTCTGAGGCGCAGTGAGCGACTGAGGCTGGCGTCTACACAGGTCTCTCCATCTGCTTGTACGTGGGAGTGTGAACACGTCTGTGTGTGCGCCCTGTGGGAGGCGTGTGGGCCTGTGTACCCAGAGAAACAATAAAAACTAGCACTTACGAAGTACTCCGCTTCCTTGTGCTCATTCGGCTCCCATAACTCGACGTTTGTTGTTGTCAGATGCCATCGAGTCGGAACCGACTCATAGCGACCTCATGCACAGCAGAACGAAACAATGTCCGATCCTCACTACCGCCGCCACACTTGACGCCATCAATGATGCCACCTGGCTGATGCATCTCGTTGGGGGGTCTTCCTCTTTTTCTCTGACCCTCCACCTTACCCAGCATGACATCCTTCTCCAGCGACTGTTCTCTCCTGACAATGTGTCCAAAGTATGAGAGACATCTTGGCCTCCAAGGAGCGCTCTGGTTGCACTTCTTCCAAAACAGATCTATTGGTTCTTTTGGCAGTCCATGGCACTTTAAGTATTCTCCTCCAACACCACAACTCAAAGGCATCAACTCTTCTACGATCTTCCTTATTCACTGTCCAGCTTTTGCATCCATATGAGGTTATTGAAAATACCATGGCTTGGGTCAGGCGCACCTTAGTCCTCAAGCTGACATCTTTGCTCTTCAACACTTTAAAAAGTTCCTGTGCAGCAGATTTGCCCAATGCAATACGTCATCTGATCTCTTGACTGCTGCTTCTGCTAGTGTTGATAGTTGATCCAAAAAGAATGAAGTCCTTGACAACCTCAATCTCTTCTCCATTGATAAGAATGCTGTTTATTGGTCCACGAAGTGAGTCTTTTATTTCCTGAGATCTAAAAGGAAGACTCAGTGAGGTGCAGTGACTTACCTGAGGTTACCCAGCTAGTCAGTCCCGCTGGGATTTCTGGACCCCAAATCTCCAGCTGTCCTGTACAGGGCTCTGAGGCCACTATGAAATAAATGGAGCTATGTGACAACACCTAATACACAGTAGGCACTCAGTAAATGTAAGCTGGCCTAGAATCCAGGCTTTTCCTCAAGGGTCTGTGTGTGCTGCAGAGCTGCTTTGTGACCCACTTTCTATTGATTGCAACAGAAACCAGAGGTCCCAGATGGGTAATTTCTGAAAGTGCGGCTCTTGAGCCATCCTGAGATCAAGCATGGGGTATTAGTGAGCCAAAGTTCCAAGGGATCTGATGACCTGGGGGGCAATATTTCATTTTTGGCCAAGAAGCCAGTCACAGCCTTTGTCATCTCATTCATTCATCTCATTCATTCAATAAACATTTATGGTGCCAGACACAGTGTTACTACAAGGTGCCAAGCAGGCAGCTGTGGCCGAGATAGATGTCTGATGAGAGCTAGGCTGCTTGGGCTTCAAGGTGGGGGTGGGAAACACACAGGACAGGAACCTCCAGGCCTTTTTTTTCCTGAGAAAATTCCCTGGTGTGGTGCTGTAGGAAAAGTACTGGACTGCAAGTTCAGTTTCAACCAAAAGGTCAGTGGTTCAAACCTACCAACTGCTCCTTGGAAACCCTATACAGAGTCACTATGAGTTAGAACCGGCTTGACAGCACTAAATAACAACAACAACAACACAGTCTATACACTCCTTTGAGGAGAGCCTGAATTTGTTTCCTGCTGGTTTGTGATAAACACAGGAACAGCCAAACCCTAGGCCAGTAGAAGATTCCTTCAAAACTTTATCTCTTCTAACACTCCCACTTTACAGATGAGGCAGTGAAGGTTCAGAGGAGGAAAGGACCAACCCAAGGTCTTTCAGTTGGTCAAGGTCAGAACTTTAACTAGAAGGAGGTCAGAACCTCAATCCTTTGGCACCTGTTTAGGGCTCATCTCATGAGATATTTTGATTAAACGATAATACTTTTTTTTTATCTCTTCTCTGCTGAAATGTTCTTTAAGGCTCATTCTATTGCTCCAGGTCAGTAAAGCCCTTACAGCATTCCTGTCTATATCTCTGTTGAGAATGTCTTTCATTCAGTTATTCCTACGGGTGGAAACTTCTTGAAGTTCTGGGAGGAGATCTTGTTTGGCTTTGTGAAGTTCCCTTTCACCAAGCCTGCTTCAAGTTCATGAGGGTCTCATGCCATGCTTGTTCAGTGAAATAGATACAATACAGACCAAACTAATCGAGTTTAGCAGGAACCCTGCCCAAGGAAGGGGAGACAAGTCCAAGCAAATGCCGGCTTTGGGCTGGGTAGAACCAGCTTTGGGAGGAGCAGGTGTCCTGAGGCCAAGACAGGTGGGGCAGAAGATCAGAGGCTTCTTCCAGAAGGCAGCTCTATGTTGTGTCTGTTGGCATGAAATGGCTCCATACCAGTGAAGAAAATGTGTGAGTACCTAAGTAGTGCTCTAGAGTCTCCACTCTGACTCTGGGTTCTGTGTTTCTTGTATGAGTCCTACTGCATTTCCTTGGAGGGCCCCTGGCTCTCTAGAAAGTAAATGCCTCCTGTCCATTCTCGTCCTGTCCAGACCAAGTCCCTCCCCAGCCTCTGGCTCAGCAAAACTGAAAGTTCATGCCCCATGAGAGAAGATACCACTGCTAGCCCCCAACTTTGCCCTCAGAATCCCCTTCTCCCTATGTACCCACGGATTCAACACCCAGACTCGGTGACATCTCCAAGGAAAAAATCAACTCATGCAGCCTTCACAGCAATCCTGAGAGGTGAGAACTATGATGGTCCTTCCCATTTTACAGATGAGGAGACAGAGGCTGGGAGAGTTTCAGTACTTTACACCTCACAGACATATATCTACCCCAGAGATCCACATGACAGACTGGGGACACGCAAAATGGACTTTGAGAGAACACACAACAAACCAGATGGAAGACAAGCCTGAGCCAGAGTGAACACACAGACACAGGACACCACGGAGTTAAGGATGCTTGCAGTTTACTCCTGGACATGCAGCCACAAGGCGGACATACACAACACTCTCCCTGACAACCTCTACCCCACTTTGGTAGGGGTTGCATGTTGTTGCTTTGTGCCGATGAGTTCGTTCTGACTCATAGCAATCCATCTTGTTGGGGGTCTTCCTCTCTTCACTGACCCTCCTCCACTTTAGCAAGAATGATGTCCTTCTCGGGGCTGGTCCTTCTTTATCGAATGTCCAAAGAACAAAAGGCAAATTCTCACCATCCTGGCTTCTAAGGAGCATTCTGTCTGTACTTCTTCCAACACAGATTTACTTGTTTTTCTGGCAATCCGTGGTACTTTCACTATTTTTTGCCAGTGCCACAATTCAAATGCATTGATTCTTCTAAGGTCTTCCTTGTTCATTGCCCAACTGCCACATGCGTAATAGGCTACTGAAGATACCATGGCTTGGGTCAGGTGCCACCTAGTTCTCAAATTGATATCTTTACTCTTTAACACTTTAAGGAGGGCTTTTGCAGCAAATTTGCCTAATGCAATATGTCTTGATTTCTTGATTGCTGCTTCCATGAGTGTTGATTGTGGTCCAAGCAAAATGAAGTCTTTGGTAACTTTAATCTTTTCTCTGTTTATCATGTTATTTATTGGGTCACTTATGAAGATTTTTGTTTTCTTTACACTGAGGTGCAATCCACACTGAAAACTGTAGTCTTTGATCTTCATCAGTATTTCAAGTCGGATTCCAGCAAGCAAATTTGTGTCATCTACATATTGCAGACTGTTAATGACTCTTCCTTTAATCCTGATGCCGCATTCTTCTTCATATAATCCCATTTCTTGGGTTATTTGCTCAGTACACAGATTGAAAAAGTATGGTAAAATATACAACCTTTCCTGATATTAAACCATTCAGTATCCCCTTGTTCAGTTCAAATGACTGCCTTTTGGGTTATGTACAGGTTCCTAATGAGTACAATTATGTGTTCTGGAATACCCATTTTTTGCTGACAAAAGATGTTTCCCACCCTTTAGAATATTGAGGGCTGGACTCTAACTTGTTCCCTGGGAGTCTAGATTACAGAATGTAAATGTGAGTTTTATATATGCAAATGTTCAAACAAAGGCAGCCAAGACACTCTGGGAGAGCTGAAAGATCAGTGGTACTGGGATTAGAAGGGAGAGGAAACTACTTAGGACTCTGGGTCAGTTGACAAAGTGGTTCTAGAGCTATTAGGAAGAGCAAGCTCTTTCCCCTTTCATCTTTCAGCAAATGTGGTGGCAGAGGGCTAGATTTGACCCTCTGAGTTGGGTTAGCTGGAGACATTCTGTGGGTGGCCTATCATCTTCTGACCATCCCAGAGCCTTAAATGATGGATGTGGAGGACAACACAAGGAGACAGCACAGTAAGGCCAGATGGATGACATAAACAGGGTCAAGTGGTGTCCCTGTTGTGACTCCCAGCTCCTCACAGTCACTTCCAAACCCTGCGCTCTAGTTAATTGACCCAGGGTTGGGGTTGGTGAGCCCCCTGAAACTGCCTTCATCAGTGTGAAGCATATATAAAACTCACATTGACATTTTGTAATCTAGATTCCTGGGGAACAAGTTTGAGTCCTGCCCCCAATATTGATATTGGTGTAATGGATTAAGTTGTGCCTCTTAAAAGAGATGTTGAAGTTCTAACTCTTAGTACCCAGAAGGTGACCTTGCTTGAAAATAGGGTCTTTGATGTTATCAGTAAACGTGAGGTCACACTAGAGTTGTTGTTATTAGGTGCCATTGAATCAGTTCCGATTCATAGTGACCCTAGGCAC